TCTCTCCATCTCTCTCCATCTGGGCTTAGTGTGAAACTTAGCCATCGTCGTCATGGTGACAGCAGGGCAAAGAGACAGCGACTTGACGTCACTGATATGAGTCTACAGTAAAACAGCTTTTAGGGCCATTTTCAGTGATATTGCTGAAGAGAAAACAGTGTCTGCAAACAGTGTCTTCATTACGTAAAAAATCCTAAAGTTATTTCTGTATTTGACTCCTACTTAAATACACTAAACATTCTCCTTTATTAAACACTCAGACGCGCTTGAAGCTCTAACTTTCTCTTTGCTTAGTCTACATGCGATGCGAGGACTCAGGAATGAGATCGCTGATCCTTAGCACTTGACAGAAGATGCAGACACTTTCATTTGTGTTCTTTAAAGGAATATTCTGGGTTCAAAACGAGCTAATCTCAGTCAACAGCATTTGTGGCATAATGCTGACAATGCTAAAAAATAAAAATATGTAGCTTATAAGTTTATACACGCAAGTTATTGCATTCTGTTATTATTCTGTTCTAGTCTATTATTATTATTATTCTGTTAAAACTTATTTTAACTGTGAAGCTGTTTAAATCATTTAGTCATTTTAGACACAATTGTAAAAAAGTTGTAAAAAACCTTCCCCCCCCCCACACTAAAATCATGTTAACACCACACATTGTTTATGTTTATATCTTGTGGCTATTATTTACAGATTGGCCTCATTCACATGTATTGTTTTTTTGTTTTGTTTTTTACAAAATTAGTGTTTTGTTTAGTTTTTATTTTTACTGGAGTTTTGGTTTAAAAATGAATCATAAGCAGTACAGAACATAACCAGCACATATGTAAGATAATAAAATCAATAGATAAATAAATAAATGCATAAAATAAATGCATAAATAAATGAATGAATACAATTGATTTAATTAAACTGTATATATGCACACACATATATATATATATATATATATATATATGCATACAGTAAAACAAGAGTTTATTAAAACAAATTCTAAACACTATTATTGACTATTATTAATGATATTTGAATTAGATTTTCTTTTTCTTTTTTTCTGTTTTCATTTTAATTTTAGTTAGTTTTAGAATTTTTGTTTTGTGTTTTTGTCATTTTTATTAATATCTATATAGTTTTTATTAAGATTTAGCTTTTAGTTTATTTAGTATTTTAGTACTTAAATGAAAATGAGAAATGTTGCATGGCCACTGGCTAAAATAAAATACATGTTACATTGTTTCAGTTAATGTTTGTGTTATTTCAAGTGATTTTTTAATGGTTTTAGTTAATGATAACCCTGTATCAGTCCATGATCTTCACACTGTGGGGTTCCACATTTAATGTTTGGAAATGCAATTTCCACCAGACTCTAAATGTGTTATTTGTGGGGTGTTCCAGGTCATTCAGCAGAAGAGTGAAGAATGTGATCACATTAAGTTCTTGATTGAGGAGAAGGACTCGGAGGAGGAGGCGTTTTATGAAGACCTGGATGGTTTCGAGGAGAACGGGACTCAAGAAACGCGGATCAGTCCTTATACCTTCTGCAAGGCTTTCCCGTTCCACCTGATGTTCGACAGGGAGCTCATGCTCACACAGTGTGGCAATGCTATCTTCAGAGTTCTGCCGCAGGTTCGTCTGCTCAAAAATGATTGTCTATTATTGAAATGATGGAGAACAATGTGAAGTGATGTGTGTCATCTTCCAGCTGCAACCTGGCGTCTGTAACCTGTCCTCAGTGTTTTCTCTGGTGCGGCCGCACATAGACTTCAGTTTCCATGGCATTCTGTCTCACATCAACACCGTCTTTGTGCTGCGGAGTAAGGTCTGTCTGCCCCAAAATACATCTGATATAAAACCACCAACACTCATTCACTACAATGTTGTTAGTTTCTGACATAAATTGTGTTTACTAGTTCTACAGTACATGTCACACACTCATATACAAATTAGTGCTGTCACAATATCAGATTTGTAACTACACGTTCATGGTGGACAAAATAATTATTGCGATATCTATAGAAATATGAAATATGCTATCAGTCAAATTCATATTTAACCGTTCAGTGGATTCAAAGCTACAAGAAAAGTACAACAATTGATGAGAATACCAACACAGTTTTACTCCAAACTCACGTTATAGCGTCAATTGAGCGTTTGAAATAACTTCTTTCTGAACTGATGTGGCTTCGTATCAGGCAGAAATTATATTATTTCATAGTATTCTATACAGTGATAAAGGCAATAAAGGCTATCATTGTATTATAAATATACATTATCCTTATAAAAAAAAAGAAGGCTTAAAGAACACAGATAAACCAAATACTGTTGCAATGGTGTGATAATTCTCTTAATTTTTCGTCAGTCAAAACATTTCTTCTGCATTTTATTCGGCTACAGTGATAGCTGGATTTATTTGTCCGTATAATGGATTTCATGGAAAGTTGTTTTCGTACTCCTATGAGTCTCACTTGTGGACTTTCTGTGCGAGTATGAACGATACATCAATTACACGTGAGAGTTTAGAGCTGTGTACTTTTCATTTTGAAATATCATGATTATCGTTAATACCGGTATATCGTGACACCGCTAATTATCACGATAACGATATTTCATTTTTTAAATATCACGATTATTGTCAATACCTGTATATTACGACACTGCTAATTAACACGATAACGATATTTAATTTTTTTAATAGAACGATTATCGTCAATACCGGTATATCGCAACACCCCTAATTATCACAATAACAACATTTCATTTTTGTAAATATTACGACTATCGTCAATACCGGTATATCGCAACACCCCTAATTATCACAATAACAATATTTAATTTTTGTAAATATTATGACTATCGTCAATGCCGGTATATTGCGACATCCCTATTTAACACGATTATGATATTTGATTTTTTTTAAATAACGATTATCATCAATACCGATATATTGCAACACCCCTGATTACCATGATAACGATATTTCATTTTTTAAATATAACGATTATCGTCAATACCTGTATATCGTGACACCGCTAATTACCATGATAACGATATTTAATTTTTTTTAAATCACGACTATCGTCAGTACCTGTATATCGCGACACCGCTAATTAACACGATAACGATATTTAATTTTTAAAATACAACGATTATTGTCACTACCTGTATATCGCGACACAGCTAATAAACACAATAATGATATTTCATTTTTAAGAAATAACGATTATTGTCAATACCGGTATATCGCGACACCCTTAATTATCACAATAACGATATTTCATTTTTTAAATATCACGACTATCGTCAGTACCTGTATATTGCGACACGATAATTAACATGATAACGATATTTCATTTTTAAAAATATAACGATAATCGAATATACCTGTATATTATGACACCCCTAGTTAACATGATAACGATATTTCATTTTTTAAATATAACGATTATCATCAATACCGGCATATCACGACACCCCTAATTATCACAATAACGATATTTCATATTTTGAAAATCATGACTATCGTTAATACCTGTATATCGCGACACCCCTAATTATCACAATAGCTATATTTCATTTTTTAAATATCACGACTATCGTCAATGCTGGTATATTGCGACATCCCTAATTAACACGATTATGATATTTAATTTTTTTTAAATAACGATTATCGTCAATACCGGTATATTGCGACACCCCTGATTACCATGATAACAATATTTATTTTTTTAAATATCACGATTATTGTCAATACCGGTATATCACAACACCACTAATTAGCACGATAACGATATTTAATTTTTTAAATATGATCATCGAATATACCTGTATATTATGACACCCCTAATTAACACGATAAAGATATTTCATTTTTTAAATATAACGATTATCGTCAATACCTGTATATCGTGACACTGCTAATTAACACGATAACGATATTTCATTTTTTTAAATATAACGATTATCATCAGTACCAGCATATTGTGACACACCTGATACAAAAACAAGAATAACAGTGCATGTTTAAAAAAAATGAAATTTGAAATGTATTGTAATGAAACTACACGACACGAGGTTTGTTTATGGCTTTATGTAGGAGGGCCTGTTGAACGTAGAGACTGCAGAGAGTGAAGATGAACTCACAGGAACAGAGATCAGCTGTCTCAGACTGAAGGGCCAGATGATCTCACTTCCTGAGACGGAGAACATCCTTTTCCTGTGCTCACCAAGGTAGATGGCTGAGGCTGTGAAATAAAATCAACAAAGCAAATTAGTAATTTTGGTGGCTTAAACTAATTGCATCAGTTCTGATTTTTAAACACGGCTTAAATTGGTAACATACAGTCGTTACCATAATGCCTTATTTCTACTTGGACCAATCTTTAAAATGATTTTAATTTCATGTAACGTAATGTAGTCAAGTTGATTCGGTGATATTTATTATTATTATTATTATTATTATTATTATTATTACAAATATTGAAAAAATGTCAATGCTTAGAGCTTGGAGCTTGACATCATTTAAAAAAAAAAAAAAAAAAAAACTAAAATATTCTAAATTAGATGTTAGCACATAAAGCAATTTTTGAAGGCTAGATTTAAAAATGTAGTCAACATGGATAACCTAAAAATATGCTTCATGTGGTCACTTCCTGTGCTGGATTGTAACCGATTACATGTAATCTGGATTATGTAATCAGATTCCAAAAATTAAGTACTACGATGTTACATTTTAAAATGCTCAGATCAGTTACTATTTTATTGATTACATGATTACATGTTATTCACACAATGGCAGTAAATTATTCATAATTTATTGATTCTCCCCAGTTACGTTACTAACTACAATGTTCATCATGTAATCTGTAATCATTAACTACAGGCGACAATTTATAAGTAATCTACCTAGCACTGGTCACTTCTACAGTTAAATTAATGTTTTAGGTAAAAAAAATAGTGTTTAATTTGACAGAATCGACCTGACTATATTATGCTACACCAACAAAGGTCATTTTTAAGTGGTTTATCAGGTAGAAATAGCTACTTAAAGAAAAAAAAAATCACATTGTCTCTTTTTAAAGTGTATTTGGACAGGCAGCCTCTACTTCTACTTGTGCTGTCAAACGATTAATCGCGATTAATCACATCCAAAATAAAAATCACATTGTTAAAGTGTATTTGGACAGGCAGCCTCTACTTCTACTTGTGCTGTCAAACGATTAATCGCTAATCGCGATATCCAAAATAAATGTTTTTGTTTACATAATATATGTGTGTGCACTGTGTATATTTATTACGTATATATAAATGCAAACACATGCATGTATATATTTAAGAAAAATGTTTATATATTAAATATATTTATATATAATATAATAATATAAATGTATATGCATGTAAATATTTTCAAAATATATACTGTATGTGTGGGTATTTATATATACATAATAAATAAACACAGTACACACACATATATTATGTAAACAAAAACTTTTATCTTAGATGCGATTAATCGCGATTAATCGTTTGACAGCACTAATTTATACATTTAATACAGCTTTTTTTGAAGGAATAGCATAAAGTGTAACGTAAACATCATTACTGCTTGTTATTTATTAAATAAGTACAGTACATTTTTGTTCATTGCCTCCTAAATCAAACGTAATGGACAGCAAGAATTTGGTTATTTTCTAATAAATGTTTTTACTGGCCCCTTATAAGCCAAATCTACTGAAGTAATATGTGTCTTTCCCGCTGGTTTAGATTGAATCGATTGAATCAGAGGCTTTGATTTCGTATTATGAGACATGTGGTGGAAATATGTTCTGATGGGACTGCTATATTGGTATATGTTAGGGTCAACTTTACTGAAGTTTTGTGGAGACTGAGTAACATTTTGTTTGACGTTTTGATATCTCGATTGATAGGCCTGATCCAGTGTTTTGTCATTTGCGTATATCAGTGTTATGAATCTGGATGATCTGACGAGGAGAGGTCTGTACCTGAGTGATATTCCTCTTCATGACGCCACCCGTGACCTTGTGCTACTGGGGGAGCAGTTTCGCGAGGAGTACAAGTTGACCCAGGAGCTGGAGATCCTGACCGACCGTCTGCAGCACACGCTCCGAGCCCTGGAGGATGAGAAGAAGAAGACAGACAGGTCAGTCCTCTGCGGAAGCCCGTTTAAAATAAAAAAAGTTTGTATCTCACAAATCTAACTTTTAAGTCAGATATAAGCTGGCAATTGCGATTTACAAAGTCAGAACTGTGTGATATAAACTTGCAAAAGTCCAATTCTGAGGAAAAAAATACTATTTTCTTACAACTGCGAGTTTATATCTCACAGTCTTGACTATATAACTCGCAATTGCAACTTTATATCATGCAAATATTACTTTATGACTCGGACTTAATTCTGACTTTATTTCTCAGAATTGCAAGTCTTGCAGTTCTGATTTCATAACACACAATTGCGACTTTATATCTCACAATTTTGACTTTTAAGTCAGATATAAGCTGGCAATTGCGATTTACAAAGTCAGAATTGTGGGATGTAAACTCACAATGGTGAGTTATGAAGTTTGTGAGTTACGTTTTTCCTCTGAATTGAGTGATATAAACTTACAATTGTGACTTTTTCTTAGATTTGCATGATTTAAACTTGCAATTACACGTTATAAAGTCAGAATTGTGAGATATAAA